CGACTGCTACGACTTCTATTGTAGACCCCGCATTATTCCTGCTTTCTATTTTTGTGTGTGAACGTGCCCTGAGAGGTCCGCCATTTTCTATCCAAGGTTCTATCATAGAACCTATGCCAACCTCTAACGGTGAAATCACACGGTGCGGAAAAAGACTGCGGAATGGAGAATGCGTTATTGAAGCAACCAATCAGCGCTATTCAGCGCTATTCGGAATAGTGCTGATTGGTTGCTTCAATGACGCATTCTCTATTCCGCAGTCTTTTTCCGCACCGTGTGATTTCACCCTTATTGGCTGCGGTCCACTTAACGCTACAAACGCTTCGCAGCATTCTTTGAGCGAGTTCAAGACAGCAAAGCGGCTGTGTATGCTTACCGAGCGATTGAATATGATTGGTTGGATCTATAAGTATCAACCAATTATGTTTATTTGCTCGGCGAGCAGGCTAGCCGCTTTGTCAACTTGAACGCGCCCTTTGATTAGTCAATTCGTAAAATTCTTTGTTCTGATTGGTCGCTCAAACGTTTCGAAGCGCTTGTAGCGTCAAGTGGACCACAGCAATTATGTCTTTAGACGTAACGCCGCCTTTATATAAAACGACTCTAGGTCGTCGCGCTGAGGATCTGCCCTAAGGCAGGGTACGCCTTCCATTGCGCAGGAGAGCACGGAGTGGGGGTACGGGACGGCTGATCCTTTGGGACCAAGAAATCCCACTCTCTGTCTCTCTCTCGACTCCCGGCTTTCCTACAGTGCGGACAAATTAGTGTGCCTCCTGCGTGCTGTTTCCCGCTGCGCAGCACGTAGTCAGTTAATCCTATTCTTCTAAATCCTTTTGCAAATTCAAGTTTTAAGTCGACTTTTCATGACTCCTGTATATACGTGCGCATTGGATTCACACAAGCGGTAATTTTAATTAGTATTTCAAGTTTACTATATTTCGTAACTATTTTAACTTGTTAATCGTTGTAGTCTAGATATTCTCGATTTTAAGCAACTGCGTAAAGTAATAATTCAAGTAATTACTCAATAATTGTTCAATAAACACCAATTCAAGATAATTAGAATTTTAGAGATATAACTATTTGAGGCTAACAATAAGATATATATAGGGTGTTTCTTAAAAACCGCCCACTAAGCACATAGCGCTATTCCTGATAAAAAATTAAGTCGATAAGTATTAGGAAATTTTTTTTTACAGTTTACAGCTTACTGAAGCAGTTATTATCGAGAAAGATAATCCAATCGACGCCGTGCTTTAAACGGACGCACGTCCGTGAGCTGCGCACCTAGTAGTATGTGTGAGCGCTCCGTCGCGCCGCTATCGCGCAATGTTCTCGCATATCGTATTAAAGCGAAAAATTACGATCTTTGTCAATGAATAAATATTATGACGCGATAATATAATAATTATACAAATTAAATACATAATACTAATAATACAAAAAGAATTATATCATAATAGTCGTTTGTAATTATTGTTATATTGCCTTATAAAAAGATTTGTTTCATAACATTGAACAAGATTTGATTATAAGTTTATTTTTAATGACATACTTTTTCTAACGTAAAATTCTTAAAAAACAATTATCTAAAAGTAATTACGATTCTTGTTAATGAATTAAAGGTATGTCGGAACATGCAATAAAAATATGTAATAAAATGCAAGTTATTTTATAAATTTTAATGAAATAAAATAATATTCTTCAGTCAATATTAAAGAACTCAAATCCTTATAATACCGATATATGCGAGTGCATATATCGGTATTATAAGGATTTCCGCAGTAATATATCGTGCGGTCGATTTCCACCTTGCACTGTATCACCCGAGTTCGGTCAAAATCTGAGGGTTGGAGTAGCTGAACGTAAACGTCCTTAACGACGGCTCAATATCCTCTAGGTCACAATTTCCAATGTAGAGGAGAGAAGTATAAATAGCGAAGTAATATTAAGGACATGATCTCCGCAGTCGTAACCCACTAAGCCATTTGTCATAGGTGTGTAAAGTGCCGCAAAGAAACTGAAGACGATTACCGGCAGGACCATCCTGAGATGCGTTGGTTGTCGGACTAGCACGTCGGTCTTCACGCAGCCTATACATATATGGTTATAGCATTGGTGAATTCTGCAATTGCGAATTCTTGCGTTTACGAAATACTTATAAGACATTTGTAGTTACCCAAGCAATACAATTACGTTTAAAATATATTTAATACACATTAGAAATTGTTTAATAAATTATATAAATTGAAAAATAAACGTTTAAAATCTTTGATACGCTTTTAAAATTATTCAATAAACATTATAAAACCGTTTATAAGACATCTATTAAACGTTTTTTTTTACTAGTTTAAAACATAATTTTAAACATTTTATATAAGACATTCTGCAATTTAATAAATGGTTTAATAAACATAACGTTATATAATAATGTCTAACGTTTTTATATATGATAAAAAACGTTTCTGCTAAATGTTTTTTAAATGTATTGAATTGTCTGCTAGGGTTATGATCTTACATATATTTTTTATACTGATTATATTCTAATTCGTCGATATTTAAAATTAACAATTTTACAGTCCCGATAATTATAAAATGTCGATTAATTTTAGGTAAACTGTATATTGTTTATGCAGTTTTATCAACCATTTTAATTAATTGATGTCAGTAATTAACTGACATTGCTTATAATTAGTGTCATCAATGTCGACAAAAATTTATATTCTTAATAAATTATTCTAAATAAAAATCGATCAACTAAGAAAAATGAAATCAAATAAGAGGTAGCAGTAATAAAAATATGTTAAAAAAATTATAATTTTGCAAACTTTCTAAAAACTTCAGTCTAAGGATTCGAACTGCGAAAGTGTTACAGATTGAAATTATTGTAATCTAATGAGATTTGACATTTTTATTGTAATCTAACACGAAAATTAGTTTTCTATTTTCTTTCTTTTTTTATGGCGACGAGAAATGTATTCATGAAAACTGGAACTCATCAAAATTCTGTAGTTTTGATATTAGATTTATGCGGTATTGAACGTATCTCTGAGCATACATTGCATAAATTGTTACCTTCTATATGTGGCAAAGGTGCAAATACAGATGCTTCATGTACCGAGCACATTTCGTAATTACTTATGTGGGTCACACGGGACTGGTTCTTTTAAGATTTTATATTGTGCATCTTTGATATTTTCGCCTCGTTTAATTGAATGCCACACCTTAATCAATGATATATTAATGATTTATCTATAATATTATTTTTTGCAACAAAAATTTTTCCTCCATTTAAACGATGTTACTAGAGATTCAAATTATATTAAGGTATTAGTTATAAGCGAATATAAATTGCAATTTAACTTAAAGATGTTAACTTGACGTTTTGCCATAATTCATATTCTATACATACGTTTCTTCAAATATATATATTTCTTCTCTTTCATTTATTTTTTTTGTATATATTGTATAAAAATAATTGTTTTACGTATCTAAAAATTGTTATAATTTAAATTTATTTTATTATTATATTAAATATATCTATGTGCATTTCTATTTCTTAAAATTATATTTATTATAGTTTTAATTGTTAAGTTTTAATGTTACATTTACATCAATTATATGTATCGCACATAAACGTTTCTAAAGACTACAATAATTAGTAACGCAAAGAAAAAATGTTAACAAGAGTTGTGCAAGAATTGTTTGACCATTGCTGTAGTTGCAGCGGCATGCGATGTTTCTACAAGATTACTAAAAATGTGGTCAGCCTTGTCAACTGTTTTCTTTTTCTTTCAGCCAATTTTAGTGCAGATGATCATGGAAGTTGAATTCGATTTCAGTATGCGAGCGACTTTCGCGAGATAAACACGATTCTTCCAATCATCCGCCAATATTATAACTTTTTACTAAAGTGCCTTTAAAAAAAATTGCCTCAAGCAAAGCATGTGTACACATGTAAATATTCCTTATTTGTTAAATTAGTAGAGTACGAAATCGCACGATCGGAAGTATAATAAAAAATATACCAAGGATTTACGTAATGAGAAAAATGTAAAAAAACACAATGTATATGGAATTCATAAAGAACACGCATGGAAAAATTTCTGAGAATACATTATGACGCGTTCAGAGCCTTCGAAGATTGCATCTCGATAAGAGTGAAATGATAATTGAGTTAAATGACTGACGGCAATAAGTACGCATTATCGATTGGAAATCCGTTATGAGAGTTCGGTGCACCTGAACTATGAACCCGTTCTTGAATGTCCTCTAATGTCAATACGATGTAGTACGAAATGCAGGAAATGCAATCGGTGGCACCATTGTATCAAGATGTTAAATCGCTGATTAACATTCGCTTTTCGCAACCTTATTTTGTATGACTCGTGTAGCGCTACCTTGACCGTAAAATCCGTCAAAAGGATCCTCGAACGCTGACGTAGTCGACCCTGATGCTATGCAGATCTATACGATTTTTTTCCTATGCGACTTTAAGAGACGCAGTTGATGGTTAACATCGCATTACGAAGAACAAGACGCGATTGAGTACCATATGAATGTCGTGCGTCATGAATTGCTGATTTCTGTTTTCGTGTTAATTACAAAGATTTACGATCGAAGATACGTTAATTGTGTTTGAAGATCGTTTGCGAATAGATACCGTAAGTATCATATGTCGAAGTATTGAAAATATGGAGCGATGCATCAAGATTAAAAAACTGCGTCACATCGCGACGAGTATGCAATCGTAATAAGTTAATTTAAAAAATTGCAATAAATTCTGCCGATCCAAAAGTACGATTACCGAAAAAGTCATCAGTTACGTATTTAAATTGGTAATCGCAAGATCTTCTAAATCTAGTTTACGAGACGAATGTGATTTCATAGAGATCTACCTCAATTTGACTAAATGTCAAGGTCCCAGCTTTCTAAAGAGAAGAATCAGCAAACTGTTATGCAAGAGATTAATAAATAAAATAACGTATTATAAAGAGAACTAGACGCTGTAATATATATTCGACAGAAGATTGGCGAAGATTTATTTCTTGCGCGATAAGATCGGATTCATGATGCTCAAGTTCTGTCAGACGATCTTGTTTCTGGGGCACGTTGGTGGAATCTTACCACCGGCTATTCTGGAAACGGTTCATCACTTTTTTGCGGGATTCCCACCGCCCAACGATCTAGTGCAGGACAAGGACGTGGCGCCCGGGCGACATTATCTATCTTTCGACTTCCTCGTGATTGGAGCCGGCTCGGCGGGGTCCGTGCTTGCGAATCGTCTGACCGAGAATCCTGATTGGAACGTTCTGCTACTCGAGGCGGGCAGGGATGAGATCTTTCTCACAGATATTCCCTTCCTGGCACCGACCCTTCATATCACAGACTATGCCCGCGTGTACAAGGGTAAGTTACGACCGCAAGACCCGTACGGTCGCGGTGGGTACTGCCTCTCGATGGTCGACGGCCGTTGCAAGATAATAACTGGTAGAGCGATTGGTGGCACCTCGGTGGTAAACTTCATGATTTACTCAAGGGGTACGCCGGCGGATTATGACGGCTGGGAGGCGCTCGGAAATCCCGGTTGGAGCTACAAGGACGTACTGCCCTATTTCATCAAGTCCGAGAGGTGCAGGCTGATCGATAGAGACGTAAGGTACGTGATAAGGTCGTGAGATACTCGCATGAGGATTATGGATTTATTCGATTTTTTGCCATGAATCTTCTCAATTACGTTAATTCAATTACGTGTAATTTCCTTATAACTTATATTATAATGTTCATGTAATTTAGAAATAATTAAGCATTAAGCGTAATATTACACTCTCTCATACTTCGTCTTGCATAATTCTTCTCTCATCAGGTATCACGGATACGAAGGATATCTGGATGTCGTGACTCCTCCTTACGCGACTCTTTTGAAGGAACATTTCTTAAAGGCCGGTCAAGAGCTCGGTTACGAACTGATAGATTACAACAGCGATAAATTCATCGGTTTCTCAACCGTGCAAGCAAATTTACGAAATGGTCACAGAGTCAGCGCTAGTAAAGCTTTCCTCAGACCAATTCGCGACAGGACCAACTTTTATCTGTCTAAGCTCTCGACAGTAACGAAAATTGTTATTAATCCGCAAACAAAGAAAGCCGAGGGCGTCCAATTTGTGAAAGACCATAAAACATATTTTGTCTCCGCTACTAAAGAGATTATACTTTGCGCAGGTAAGTATTTGGAATATCATTAAAAAATATACTTATGGAACAAATGTACAATTTAAAATTCTACATAAAACTTTGCTTTATCATTATCGAATCTAATAAAATATTTTAAAAAACCAATTTTTTTAAAAGGAAGTATAATAAATATATATAAAAAATGATATAACAGCCTGTAGTAAAACATACACAAGTAACAGCATCATAGAAACAAGGTTTTGCTAAAGTATTTAATAATTTAATTAGATATGGATCTAAAAATAATTTTGTTGTATCAAAGTAATTGTAGAACGCTCAAATTTATTGAATTAATAAGATTATATTTTCAATAAAACTGATATTAACGAATGCTGTTATATAAAATGTTTTCATAGTGTGTGTGTGTGTAATCGGGAAGTTGCAGGAACTAAATAGCTGTTATAATAAATGGACAACGAATTAAACATTATTCCATAAAAGAAATCATTTTTCTTAGCACATAGCAAAATGAATATATGTGACTTGTAAAGTAAACATAATAAAAAAAACTGTTTGGACGTGGTTCAATAATACATGTGTATGAAAAATCTAGGTAATTTCGATATGTATAGGGCAGTATGTATATAAATTCACACCGAATTATTTAAGCACTAAAGATCCAATTTGATTGTTTAAGGTTTTCATTTCCCTGTTGTATATTCACATTACGGTCTTAAAGATATTTTGTTTAATATTGAAAGATCTCGATATGAGTGATTATTTCCGTAATAGAAATTTCTAGAATTTTTCGAAGGCACAGTTACAATTATTAATGTCAGAAAATGTAATTAATAGTTTTCAAAAGCGCCTCGATTATCATGAAATTTAGATGATCATTATTATTTTTATATAGTATATATATATTTTTATATTATCATTATTATATTTGAAAACGTTTATTTTTTTTTAAATACATCATTGAATCAATTAGAATTGTTGGCTCGTTTTTATCATAATATTTATTTTTTACTTTATATATATATATGCTCTTTTTTACTATATGCTAATGAAAATAACAGGTTTCTTCTACATTTTTCGGTTCATTAATTTTATTTCGTCTAATTCTACTAAATAACAGCTCTTTAATTTCAGCAATTTCCTGGTTCTAATTTCCTGTAAATTAACACAAAAATATTTTCGATTTATAAATGCTTTTTGGAAAACACAATATGTTCGAAAATGGAAGTTTTTTAATGAATATAAATGCAAAATTATTTCAGTTCAGCTCATTATTTGTAATCTTCTTAAATCGAAAATTTTATTTTATTATTTCCGATTGCACAGGTACTTTGGGTTCACCACAGTTACTGATGCTCTCCGGAATAGGCCCAAAAGATCATTTGAATTCATTGGGCATCGATGTAATCGAGGATCTTCCGGTGGGATTTAACTTACAAGATCACGTGAGCATGTCAGCTTTAACGTTTCTAGTCAATGAGAGCGTGACTATTGTCGAGCCACGTTTGGGTTCGAATCCAGTTAATTTTATGAAGTATCTAACAGAGGGAAATGGCCCTTTAACTATACCCGGAGGCGCCGAAGCGTTGGCCTTTGTTAACACCAAAGCTAATAATTATATGAAAAAAACACAGAAGGAAAAGTCCACATTTAAATACATGCAGCATGTAAATACACACAAGTATGACAAACAATACAGTAAGTATTTGCCATCATACAAGTTAAAATTTCTTAAGCAAACGAATCGAAAAGATTAATTTCTTTTTTTTTTAATAAAAAATCAAGATGTCTACTATTCTTTAAATATAAATTAATTATCTTTATAGTATATCAAACTTAACTTTTAGAGGGTCGGCATGTTTGCCTTGAAATTTTGAATTTTTTAAATGTAAAATTCATGTATATATTGAATGTTTATGTCACGAAGAGTCGACGAGTTTTCCGCTGGCCACTATAGTGTCCGCAACGGGATGGCCAATGTGGAAAATTTTCATTTTTTGTTTTTAGTATTCCTAAGTGTTTTTGATGTCGCAGAACACTGAAGTCAGATTATCGAAATTTTATGTAAAAATAGTGTTATTTACCTAGATAAGTCTAGATAAGTCGAATTGAATAACATAGACATTTTTATACGTACATATGAAACTTTCCTTTAGCGTAATCCAGGACTAACGACGTGGACGTAGAAAATTATGGAGCCCCTTTTTTTCGTTTTTTTTTACATTTTATATTTTTTTATTTTTTTTGCACTTATTTATTTATATTATTTTTTACTAATATTATCATTTTCCACCTATGAAGTGTAAATATGGGAATTTATGGCAAAGTCTGTATTGTATGAAAATCTTCAAAACACATTCTCAGTTATATTAATGAAATAATAGCTGAATATTTGATGGGTTGCGGTGATTCGAGTTATACAGACTTCTGTTACTGGTCACTATAGTGAACTGGCCAGTCCGGCTCTCTAAAGATTAAGAGTTTATAATGATAATAAGATTCAGACCGTATTTTATATATTTATGAAATAATTGTTGGCAATTGTTCTTGTTGCTATTATAATTTTTCAAGCTTAATTGGCTCTGGCGGAAATCACATTATGAATCACTTCTTACAGCTGTTCCCAACATAACTTCCATCACTATAAGTCGTAATAAGATGTATCCTCATACTAACGCGAGCAAGATGTCAGAGGATGACTTTCCTGACGTCGAGTTGGTGTTAGGCGCAAGCTCGTTAGCCGGAGATACTTCCGGCAGCTATCGCAGTATGTTAGGATTAACAGAGGAATTTTATAAGGAAGTTTACAGCGATTACAAGGGCTTTGATAGCTTCATGATCGTACCTGTGCTTCTGCAACCTAAGAGTCGCGGTAGACTCACTTTAAGAAGCAGCGATCCATGGGACTCGCCGATTGTGGATACCAATTATTACGATCACGATGATGATCTGAATACAATGGTGCAAGCTATAAAGATCGTAAGTAAAGAATCTTTACGCATTAAGGGAATGCTGGAGTCGCCTGTATTACCGATAAAACTAACGTTTTTGACGTTTTTGACGTTTTTGTTTCTGTCGAATTTCTTCGTAGTGATTTCACGTAATAAAAATTCCTTTTCCACGATTAAAATGTACATATCAATATTGGCATGTACATTTTAATCGTGGAAAAGGAATTTTTATTCTGTGAAACCACTACGAAGAAATTCGACAGGAACAAAAACGCTAATTTTATCGGTAATACAGATCGGTAATACGGCTCCAGCATCCCCATTTTACAATTCCTCTTTACCATCGTACACATTAAAAATTATTTTACACATTAAAAATTATATTCTGTATATAATTAAAACATCTTAAAGTTTTTTGTCATTTTCCAATTTTTTAATATTTCACTTTTATCGCACATCTTATCATAGGCGATTGAAGTGGCTTCCACGAAGGCGTTCAAGTGTTTCAACACTACGATGCTGCCAGTACCGTTTCCAGGATGCAAGCACGTAGCTTTTAAGAGCGATGCATACTGGGCTTGCGTCTCCCGTCACGTGTCGACGACTCTGGGTCACTACGCGGGTACGTGCAAGATGAGCACTCGGAAAAATTCGGGAGTGGTGGATCACAAGCTGCGGGTGCACGGAATCGATAGTCTCAGAGTCGTGGACGCCAGCGTGATGCCGACTATAATCGCTGGTCACACGAACGCACCGGTGTACATGATCGCCGAGAAGGCCAGCGACATGATCAAGGAGAACTGGAAAAGTTCCGCTTCATGAAATGTGTGGGAAGCAGGAGGAAGTAGAGATGCTACGACGCATGAAACGTGACACGCGCGATTGCGAAAAGGTAAAGAATGTGATGAAGAGAATTTTCTTTTAGAGAGAAGGAGAAAGAGAACAATTAGAACTTGTGTGTCATAAAAATTCTTAAAATTTTAAGGAGAAAAGATTTAAAACTTTAAGGAGAGAAGACTTAACTCCTTCAGACTTGATTTTAATGGAATCATAATTAAAGAATACTTTAATAAGTAATTCATACTAAAAAATTGATTTTTTCAAAATTTTGATTATTTTTTTCTACATATATATTATTATATACATCTGGTTTCGGATGATGTCAATATAGAATTAAATAATTTCAACAAATAATACTTCAAATTTGATGTACATTACACTGTATACAGAATCTGAAGGAGATAAAGAGAAAAATGTTGTTTGTAAAATAATGAAGCGTTACATCCCAAATAGCAAGGTATCGTCTATTTGACGTAATTAATTGGTCATTCTTAACGAATCTGACGTCTTATCATCGTAAAAGTGACGTGGATTTGTTACAGCCACATAACGTCATATTAACCAAAATATGTCATTATTTTCGTATTATTAATGACATAAATGAATGATGTTATTAATTGGTCACACCCAAATATTTTATAGTGATTATTGTTGCAGAAATAGAACACAATTGTGTGTAATTATTACACAATGTTTTACGCGTGTAAAAATTGAATAAGATTTTATTCATATGTCGATGATATAGTGGAACAACGACATAATTCAAAAATTGCCATTTTGGAGTTGCTTACAGAAAAAAATTAAAACATATTGAAAAAAGAAAGAACATGTTCTTATTTCTTTACAATAATTTAAATTCATTTTCTAGAAAAAGATTTTTTTGAGCTATATCGTTGTTTGAGCAAATGCGTAATGTATTTTCATCAATGACTGACTACCGTAAATAGAAATAAGGAAGAATTTTTAGATGTGTAAAAATTGAATAACATTTTATTCACATGTCGATAATTTACTAGAACAACGATATAATTCAAGAATTGTCATTTTGGAGTTGTTTGTAGAAAAAAATGAAAACATATAGAAAAAAGAAAAAACATATTTCATTTCTTTACAATTATTTAAATTCATTTTCTAGAAAAAGATTTTTTTGAGTTATGTCGTTGTTTTAGCAAATGTATAATGTATTTTCATCAATAACCGACTACAGTAAATAGAAATAAGGAAGAAAAATATCATTAATAATTTATAATAAACAATAAGAATTTTAATTTATAATAGTTATTTAGGAGATTCGTCACTCTCATGGAAAAAAAACGTTGATTCTCTTTGGCTGCTTATAGCTGCTAATTAGTTAGGTAGTACATTTACATTAGTCAAATGTTTTAATTTAAACAACAATATAAATAAATATGTTAATAAAAACGACGATATGCATCTAAATTATTATATAAATTAATAATTTTTTTTTATTTTTAAATATTCTAAATTAAAAATCGAGCCCACATGCTAAATATGAAATATTGTTATCCATCATCTTTAATGCACAAGAAATCTTACAATAACGATGATCGAAAGTATTTTATATATTTGACATCTCGTTGCACCTGCAGAAACAAACAAGAAATTTAAAATATTAAATTAATAAATATAAAATTAGATTATTAGTGTTAATGTTAATAAAATTAATTCTTAAAATTTTAATATAAAAATATTGAACAAATAGTCTTTATGCGTTTTTAGATCTCTCCTTTTAAAGAATTGCAAACTTTCTAGCTTAAAGAATTATTATTATAAATACTTAAAAATTATAAATATTTTTACCATTATCACTAAATTGAACACAATCCTGCAGCTCCTCCATCAATGTATAGCCTTCGGTACAAGTGCAGAAGCCTGTGAAGAGATATAAAATAACATTTTATAGATTGAATTCTTTCGTAATAATGAATCGTGTATTTAACGAGTGATACCGTTAATACAATCCACTTTTGATTTCAAAGTCGAATTGGAATCTTTCAAAGTTGTCGTGATGCAGTGATGGTGAGTTTCACAACGCCCGCCAAGTTCTGAAACGCAGAATTTTCTAGCATTACCATACATTGCAGCATTGATCCAAACAAGATTTGACATATATTTTTAGCCTTTATCAGTATTTAACTTTAAATTAACTGATTCTACGTTTCGTTTAATTTATTCTTAATAGAAGATTAGCGCGTGACAATTATTTGGAGTTGAAGTGATCAATTAGCGGTAAACGCAAGATGTGAGCAAAGAATCCAGATGTTCGAGTACTCGCCTACGTCGACGAAACATCGATGACCGCGTCTATGGGAACCAGCGACGCAGTCACACGTCTTGTTCACGCCGCATTGGCTATGCTTCAAGAACAGTTGGCACTGAGATTGCTGCTCGCACTGCTCACCAATCCAGGAAGCGGCTTTCAAACACCGCTGATCGCCCTTGGCCAGCACATAATCCATTTCGCAATCGCATCTGTTGTGCACACACTTCGAATTCTGCACAAAGCATTCGTCATCGCTGTTGCAGTGCTCGCCCAACTCTGAAAAGCAGTTTACATGTGAGCAATTTGACAAATCTAGATTTTATAAAGATTCTAAAATACTTATAAATATCATGAAAATCGACGATTTTTTTTTTAAGAACTTTTCATCCTTATTTTATTTCATATTTGGTTTAAAAAAAACTAGTAATATAAATATAAAATTGTTTTTGTATAATGTAATACATCATTAATTATATATCGTATAAATTATATTAAATAAGTATAAAAATTGTATAAATTAATTAATATTAAATTAAGTAAATTTTAGAAAAAAATTAAATAAAAATCGAAAAGATTAGCGCAATTGCAGATTAAAGAACGATTTTTTAAATAAGATAAAAGAAAGACTCTCGCAAAAATATTGGATTTAACCATTTTTATAATTCCTGTGATACTTACTAGCACTCAGTAAACAGCTGGTATTGTCAGGATTCGCATGATGATGCAAACCGCAAGAGCAGAAACCGTATTCGCAAAAAGTATTCTTGATGTGACAATTGCGGTTTGAGCGACAACGTTTTCCCAAACCTAAATGCAAGAAGAAAATAGTAATTGTAATTCTAATTACGTACCTAAGTTGATGTTTATTCAATTAACAAACTTTCTTTTACATTAGATTGTCGTGCAGAGATGCAAAAAAATCGTAAACATAGGTAATTTATGTGCAGTGGAAGTAATGCTAACGGTAAAAGACGAGATGCATTATTTCATTATATTACGAGTAATTATTTATAATTTGCTTTATGACACTGAATAATAGAGACCGCTCGTTGCATCATCTCTTGTTATTACACACTAACTCGGGTTATCTATTTTTTCCATAAATATGCATAATAAAAAGACTGGTCAGGCTTGGGATACTTCCTAGAAAAAGTTGTAACTGACTCACCGATAGACTCGTAACACCTCCCGTCCGTGAAGTGAGAATCGTGGGCGCATTGACAAGTGCCTTCTCGACATTCCGATTGTGGTGTAAATGTGAACTCACACTGGATGTCCTCTTCACAGGGATCGCCGATGTGACTGGCCACTGTTGAAATAACGTGTCTTATATCCCTGTCTCTAAATTGCGTATTTTATTATGTCTATACTCGCGATGAAAGAATTTCTCGCCTGTAGTTAACAAGTTCGAGTAATCTTTCTCTTTTTGTGAATGTACGGTATTCGAAAACAATATTGTTAAATACATAATGCTAAATATGTATAATCCAACAAAATTTTTAAGCATGATTCAGAGTTCATATATATAATTGGCAAGTAAAATATATAATTGTACACACTCAAAAAAAAAAAAAGGGTAGCAGCAACTATAAAGGTCACAACTATACAAATTTTATATGTAGAATCAGTGTACATATATAGTTGAATAAACTATTTTATAATTATTACTCTGTACATATAGTTGCAATAACTGTAAAATAATTTATTCAACTACGTAAATTAATTCTACATATAAACTTACATAATTGTTACAGTTTCCATCACTATGTTTTTCTCTGAGTACGAAGCGTCCTACAACATGCGATTTTAATCGTAAAATGTTGGGCTAATATCGGGTCGATAGAATAATGACCTGATTCTTTGAAGTTTATTTTAGAAGTTAACTTTATTCAATCGCTTTACGATCATGTCGAAAAGACCCCTTATTCAAAGTCGGATTTACGCCGTCCTGACTCATTCATAGAAATTATTCGTGATCTCTGTCGGCTCAACGAGCACGACGAACGACACGCTTCAGGTGAGGCGGGATCGTGAGAAAGGAACGGATAGGAATAGGGATGAACGGATATCTCCGCGGGATCTCTCGTTTCTGAGGTCAATGACATCGTTCCCGACTATTCGAATAATTAGACCGAGATTCAGAACAGAGCTTGAAATTTCTTTAAAATCCTATTTTATTTCTAATTTACGTTAATATTAACAAATAAATAATTAATATCACGCTCTAGGAAAATGCGATAAAATACATAGAATACCTCTCAGACATTTATAGCTGATACCATCATCAACAATAATAATAATAATAATAGTGATGATGGCAATAATAATAATTAATATGATTGAAAATGTAGTGGTTAATATATATTGTGGTATAATATATTTTTAAACAATATATTTTACTTTATAAGTTAAAATAATTTCTTTCAATCTTTTATTTACGCGCAAACATATCGTGGGTAACGACTGATTCAATCAAATATGTATTTAAAATGCAATTTGTCTCAGACATGCAAAACAATTTGCAGGAAAACAGAATGTGGAAAACTTCGGGCAAAGATAAATAAAACTATTTATCGTATGGCAAAAATTCATATCTGAATATCACACTCGAGAAATGTATAAAAGTACCTCTCAGACATTTGTAGTTATTGTTAATCCTGAACTCGATGTGATTGTCCTTGCATGAGCAGGTCTGCTGATTTCGACAAAAGGCATTTGGAATACAGTCGACGTCGTATTTACACTGCGAGAAGGTTTCTGAAAAAAAAAAAATATATATATATATTTGTCTCATTTGTGACACAACACGTTATTTATAGAATCAGATCTAAACGTGGGTGTTATGCTCAAAACTTGTGCTGTTAGTAATTTATCATCACAGTGTGTGTTCGTAGTCGAAAAAAAAGTAAAAAAAAGAAGTTACGTAAAATTTTTACATCTAATTAAAAAATAAAGGAATAAAAAAGATGCTAACGGATGTATCAAGCAATCGGCTTTGTACTACAATTGCAGACCAATTTACCGTGACGTAACGAGTGCGACCTAACAATCGATTAGACACGATCCATGAAGAATGAACGACCGAAGGATCCTCATATTTCACGGTAGTTGCGCGTTCCGGTACTCGCTCTTGTTCCCATTAATTAATTCGTAGAAATGAAACCTAAATTGTGCTATACTACTGTTATCAGTCCGTCTAAACTTTCTTTGCTTACTATTGCTGTGATTAGCGTTACTGCGATCGTTGCATCGCAAAGACGAATCCTCGTTGCCGTTGACGTAGGTGATCGTCGCGCAGACGGTAACGGGTACGAGGACGAGGAGCCCCGTGAAGCCGCATACCGTCCACGTCCTCGTCATCCTCGCAACGACGGCGGACACACGCCTCGTACGAAACGTTCCATCACCATCGGCCAACTTGTTGTCATTTTCGGATCTCGCAAGAAGAGACCAGATTGTCCGGTCGATCGATCGTCCCGATCGCTCGAAGGCCACCACGTCACGATCTCAACAACCTTTTTTCGACGCTCTCATTGTTTTCTCATCCGTCCAATCGTTGCGCAATCGTAGGCAGGGATACATGGGTACATCCTCAGATGGACATCATCGAGGCGTATCCCGCGCGATCATCGTTGAATCCCTCGACATTGTCTATCACTTATGCCTGTCGCTTCATCCTCGTCTATTTAAGGCGAAACATCGACGAAACCGCTGTCATTCGATCTTCAACGAATTGACCTGTAGGTCTATTCTGTAACTTTTAACGACAGTTCGGTATTGTTATATTGTTGTTGCGCAGCTTTTTTATCATGTAAAATATCTGTGCAATGATATCGTAACGATATCGACACTGACGTTAAGAGTTACAGAATAGGGCAGCTGGAACTTTGTTCGAGTCACGAGATCTCGTTAGACATTCAGAATAAAAGATCATGAGATTCCAACTTGAACCGTTAGAATCACTTTGCGTGAGATCGATTTTAAATGATCTGCAATTTTCGTCTTTCGAATTTCGAAAGAGATTTGGGTAGAGCCTAAGAGTAAGTCCACAACCTTGCTTTAAGAAGCCTTAAGTCATAAGGCGAAAGAAATTAAATGGCAATAATTTCTGTCTTTTTTTAAACTGTTTTTGCGCAGTCTTTAGGCTTTAACCGTTAGACTTAAGCGAATTAAACAAAACCCAATTCTTACGGCCTAAAAGCATAAGTTCTATGGCCAATACATCGTCACTTACAACTTAAAGCTTACGGTTTACAGCCTCTTAAAGTAAGATTGTGGACCTAGACTAAAATGTCCAGTGATTAATAAAAAAATCGATATTTTCTTCAGTAGATAAGTCGAAACGTCACGTCTTCTTTTTGTTATTGGATTAAAAATTCGCATCAAACGACGAAATCTAATTAATTCCCAACGTAACAAATTTTTTCTTTCACTATAATTTGAATTTACAATAAATAATTACAAAAAAATCGTTGTATCAAATTTTAATTGAATCGTGCTACGGCGCACAATTGATAATTATCATGCGATTTTAATTGATTTTAGACGTTCCAGTTCACAAACGATCGCGTGCAAAGAAGCTCGTCGCTATAGCATCGTCTTGTTTTGTCGATTTCGACAGGCGAAAGATACAGTTTGGAACGTATTCTCACGTACTCCATTGCGAATCGATTTCGACTTTAATGCGCAAATATTGCACATTCATTGACAATAATCGTTGAGAATAGTTTTATGGGCGCTGATCGAGTTGTCACCGACGAATAACAGGTGCTAAAATGTCTTAACGCGCTTTGGTACCGTTCGATTTGAATTAGAGCCGTATGTCGAAGCATCCTAATAGTGAATATGCGAAAAATGTACTTAAACTGCGTTCGTATATAAAGCAACATCTCTTTAAGACAGACTGTAAGCTGAATATAGAGTATTGCTATGTTTAAAGCGTTTAATGTAGATGCAAAAATATTTATAAAGCAGATTCTCTAATTTTCCAAAATCGCGATGTTTTTTTTTATTTTTCTAGCTTATGTTTTTTTGCTTTTTAATAATTTTAGTAATATTATAACATTAATATTATTATAATATTAATATTTTTTGTATTGACAATAATGTTGATAATATACTATTTTTTTTTATTTTACTTCTATTTTAGTAATATGATAATAAAACGTTAATTATTAATATTAATGTATCTTTTATATTGATAATGATATTAATAATGTTAATAATATATTATTTTGTTTTATTTTACTGTTCTATGTAGATCCAAAACTTCCGTCTTCATGTTTTCTTCAAAGTGTGATTATGAGCCTTCGCTTTTCAATGCCGCAGGTCTATCGACACAAACCGTAGGCGAAGTTCCCCGCTTTGGATTTCGATGACGGTCCTGTGAATGCTCGAAGGTCGATCGCGATGAACAAAACGAGTTTAGTGCCCTAGGTTTCTATAGTTTCAGTTTGCATTGCGCAACGCAATGCTACATGTACTACAGCAGAAGCTATTGTTATGTGTCAACAGTACTGTATTGTGAGCGAAAGCTATTCGAACGCTATGTATTCGCTACATCTTTGTTCCAACATAATGATCGTAATACGATTAACTGAATAAAACGGCTGCCTTGTAAAAAGATAAATATAAAATAAATATAAAATTTAAAAAACACTTGAATAAAATCGAATGATTATATATATATATATATATATTACATAAATCGGGTTGTAATTTAATTACAACCTTTTGATAATCACGATAACATTAATTTCGTTAACGATTTAATTAATTAATGATATTAATTAACAACATAATTAAAGTCGTTAAGTCTACGTTGATTTAATGATGTCTGGCGTTACTTGCGCAACGTAAGAGGTTTATGCAACTCCGAGCTTAGTTGAAGACTCGACGTGCAATAATCTCGCTTCCAAAACACATTGTTAAATCGAATAACAGGCGAGCGTAGGAAACGGGCCCTCCTTTGTTCTTTAATTATGAACGGTTCTACTCGACATTCACCTAACTGTGAGAACCAGGAGCGTAGATCCGGTCTCCACGACTTTGCGATCTTCGCGATTCTCCACGAAGGAGAGGAAAGGATTACTGGGTCATAAAAATACTGTTTTTAAAACAGTCGTGCTTGTGATTTCTCCTAAGTTAAAATGCAACAGTTCGATTAAATCAAAATCACTTTATCCGTTTTAGCAATTATCTGAGAGAACCAATTAATCTGAATATCTGATAATTAAATAATAAATTTCATTTATCTTTAGGCACCTTGAAATAAAAATTTCAGCTTTAATTCTCATAATTTTCACTAAGAATATCGCGTAACTAGATTTATATTTTTATATGTTTATAATGATTGTATCGTTAAACTAAGTAAATAATTTTTTTACATATAACATATTGTTTAAATACGTTTGCTTTGCGAATTTTTTTCTTTTCACTTTAGTGTAACTTTTCGAACAGTATCTTCTGATATTTGAATTCGCTATAACTTGATCTGATTCGATGTTTATACTCACAAAATGATTTTATATTTCTCGAGTATTTCTATAATTGATTTGTTAAAAACATCTCCTTTGATATTTTTCTATCACGTTTCTCCTATGATATTAGATCTATTTTTCCTTATTACGTATTTATGCAATACTTCTCAATTTTTTCTTTTCACAATAAGATTTTATATTTATCAAAAATTTTTATTATATTAATTGCTTCCTTAAAAACATTTTCAATACTTTTCTATTGTATTTCTCCTACGATGTTGCACCTATTTTCCTTTATCAATACGTAATATTCGCGCGATACCTTTCGATTCTTTCTTTTAAATTGCTTACAACTTGATGTTTATATTAACAACCAAAAATTTGAAAATATTAATTGAAAATATTTACTATATGAAATGGAATCAAGAATGTAATTATAATTTAATATATTTTTCCATATACAGATTCAAAGCAATAGTCTCAATTTACAATCAGATACAGAATATTTGTATCATGCATATTTCTCAATTTTAAATAATATACAGAAATGATTATTGTTTATTATATGTTTATTATATTTTTTCTACGACGTTATGATATATATGTAGATATTTATTTATGTATTTGTCCCTGTCTCTGACACTTTCTATTTGTATATATAAAAATTTAGTTTCTCTTATACATTCCAACGAATCACATATGTTATATAATGTTTGACGCAATTTCAATTTAATTGTATACAAACTTACCTTTTTTAAAAAAAGGTAAGTTTGTGTATACAATTAAAGTTACTATTATTCAATTAAAAAATCCCACCACCACCCCCATCGTCTTATAATAGTAATATCAAAATATCTAGACGACGGTTTTCTATATAAAATTTAATTTGATAGAATTTAACTTAGTATCAATTGTTGACATTAAATCTTTATAGGATAAGATATACGTATACTTAGGTTTCGTTATGTTATTAAACCCGATTAAGGGTGTCGTGTAAATGTATAAACAACACCTAGACACCTAATTCCTCGACGGCGAACATCTAGACATCAACTTCCTCGACGACGAACGTATAGACACCAACTTTCTCGACGGCAAACATCTAGACTTTTAATTCCTCGACGACGAACACCTAGACGCTTAATTCCTCAACGCGGTAAATACCTAGATCTTCAACGACAATCTCGATATATTTTATTTCAATTTTAATTAATATTTCATTTTAATTTTAATTAATAATAATTTTAATTTTAATTAATAATGTTGCCATCGCTGATTATCACAGCCGTCATGTATGGTTGATCATGTTCGAATGTGCAATGCTGCCATCGCTTGGTTAAGTCAAAAGCCATCTATTATCAAAAAAACGAGACGTACATTTTTCCTGGTCAACGACAATAATAATAATGACGACGTATCTGAATCTGAATGTGAAAAGTGACAGATCCGGACTTTGCGTCGCAATATCTCCGCTCGTAGGGCACGTAGAAAAAAAATAAAAGCACGTCGAAGATTGAAGTTTTTCGTCGAAGATATATTTTCTTAAAATTAAACGATGCTATGTTAATCACAACTAAATATTTATCTTCAAAGTTATTATAACTTATGATATTCAGTTCAATGTTTACACTTGCAATAAGATTTTAAATATTTCTTAAATATTTTCATTATATTAATTGCTTTTTTAATTATGTCCTCTTCAAGATTTTTCTATCGCATTTCTTCTACGACATTAAATCTGCTTTTTCTAATCACATATAATATTCATGAGATGTCTCGATTCTTTTATTTGATTTTGATACAATTTGATATTTTTATATTACTGAAATATATTTCTGTTATATTAATCGTTTTCTAAAGGATGAATCCTCTTTGATACATTTTTATTGTAGTTCTCTAACAATATTATACTTACCTTTTCTCATCAGCACGTAATATTTGCAATATCTCTCGAATTTTTTATTTAATTTCGTTATAACTTGATATTCCATTCGATTTTTACACTCACAAATTGATTTTCAGTTTTTT